GAACATTTATTGTGAACACTGTATTGCTGCAAAGAAGCACTTTGCGTTGATTTTGTACATAAACACATTTTTCTCTCGTGTCTTTTTTTGCGTTTCTGCCTCAACCCGTCACTTTAGACCCTACATTCCTATAAAAGAATACATGTTTTAGTACGCTCCACCAACCCTCCAAGTTTGTCCCATGATCTATGAAACACCCTGTATGTATTCGCGGGGGGGGGTTAGAGCACATACCCTCTTCCACATATGCATACAGAACTGAGTAAAAAATGCATTTTTGCATTGATTCATATAGAGCCTATTCACATATTCTCACTATATGAATTTTATATTAATTCAGTACTGTATTCTATGATCTACTTGCGGTCCCTTAAAAATTGAGAAAATCAAATAAAAATTTGTTAATGTTTTCAAGTATATCCAATATTCCTTTTCTTGAAAGATTTCTGTGAATTCCCACTTCGAAGAAACTTCATAAAAAATTAATACTAGTGATTAGTAAGGTTACAAAATGTAGCGTTACAGTTTTTTCTGAGGCAAATAAAAGTTGATATGAGGGCATAAAATTAATCATATATTAAGGACAGCCAGTGCTGCAAAGCATATCTACTATGAAGATTACATTCATGACTGAGATTCTCGTTTCCGTTCCACTGTTGTATATTTTTCTTTACATAATATTTTTAGAACTCTTTGTTGTTTTTATATGCATATAACAACAATATGTTTATTCTTATTTAGAACCCATTTTAAAGTTTAAAATTCTGGAAACCAAATGTTGTTCAAAATTGAAAAATAACCTTTCTGCTACAGCCGAAGCATTTAGAAACTGATTGTTTAAACAGAAAACCATTCTTATTAAAAATTCCTGAGCACAATTAGAAACTTCGCATTCTTTGGGCTAATTCCGGGCGTCTGGTAATCCTATTGCTCATGACAATAAATGCATTCCTCCTGTTTTCAAGTACATTCGACTTGACTCAACATAAAGCCTGATGTATGACATTCACAATCTTTAGACAAACTGCATTTTCAATGTATTTCATTATCAGAAAAATTGTGAATGAAAACTTAATGTGATCTTGAGACTAAAAATGAAAGTAAAAACGATCTATATGCAAAGAAGTGGAAAAACGAAGGTTAGAATTCAAGTCATTGATTAATAAAAATTGAATTTTATGGATATGGAATGCCTCATGGAAATCTGGGACACCAAATAGTCTTTATTGGTGACTTTGGAAGAAGCAGAAATTGAATTTGTAGCTTGAAGATGAAACTTGCTGGAGTGTAGTTGCTGTATTTACTCCCTTTTTAAGAAAATAAATTTCGTGTTCCTCTACGTAAAATAATAATAATAATACCTATTTTAAGGTAAGAAATTTGAAGTATGGTGATATATTTATGCATGAAAAATTTAAATAATCCAAGTAAATGAAAATTAATTAATTTTAACAGACACTGATGATTTGGAAACACTGATGTTAATGATCAAATGTGATTCATAAAATATAGTTGCAATCACGGCCGATTTAGCATTAGTTTAGTTGCCTGACATAGATACACTTACCTAACAAGCAAGACAAGCGCCTATTCTAAAAGCCTTTGACGGCATACAGTTTCACTAAGAAAGATTTTCTGAAAACTCCAATGAAAAGAGGTATTTTCTATAATTAAATTCTAAAATGCCCCTGGAGCTTTATACTTTGATTTACATACTTTTAATATATTGCCATAATTTCTAGGACATTTTTCACGATGCACGTATGTGTACTTATCGAAGTCATAAAAATATTCTAGACCAGATTTGTGTATCGCCTTTTCAGTAAGAGAGTTTTAGTAACTTTGTTTTCGCTTATCAAGCTTTTGAAGTAAGGAACGAATGCAGTTACAACAAGCTTGTAAGCCAGAAAGCCCGAGAAAATAAAGCGAAGATTCTAGTATAAAAAGATCGTTCAGAATAGTTCAGTTTTGGTTCGTTATTCTAATTGCTTACTAAAATCTTTAGTTTACAAATTTTAAAGTTATTATTAGCTTAAGAATTCTATGTATCTATTTCAATGACGTTACATACGAATGAGACATGGGTTACATTTGAAATGAAGCAGCTTAGAGGAATTTATTATAAGCATGTTACATTTTCAGGACATACCAAGGAAATAATTAAATTGAAAACTAGAGTTAAACTGCTAAATTAAGCTATGAATATGAAACTTACAAAGATATACATTTGTGTTATTTGTTACAATGAATCAAAATAAATATTTCTTGTATAATATTTTAATGCTACTTTCTAAAAAGAAAAAAAAATAACACACCTTTCTTGAAGAATCGCAGTATTCATTTGGACTTTAAAAAACACAAAACCTTTTTTCACATCGGACTGAAATTTCATTAGGAATTGGAAATCTTGTGGTTTTTTTCCAAAAATATAGTGCATAACATTTATATTCTACATTATTTACATTATTCATAATTTAGTTTTCAGTTCAAAATTTTATGACTTATATTTTACGGCTATTTTATTTCTCGTTACTTTTTTCCTGCATTAATGAATTAAAAGTCTCAGTTTCATTTGCGATACTTTCTTAACTCTTCATTTTAATTTACTATTACACTTTGCTGTCCTAAAACCAGCAACTGTTTATAGTAAATCACTTCAAACTGTGCTGTTTCGAAATTAATCGTCATCATATGATTCTTATACAGGGCTAATGACACAGATATTTACATAATGCTTCAAGAAATAATAATTTCAAATTCGAATCCAAACTTAAAATTACCCATTTGCAATGAAGCGAATCTAAAACTAAATAATTATGAACCAATCTCTCAACTTGGACACCTCATATTCTTTTTTTCACTTTCCTCTTGCTAATCTGTTTACTCTCCGCTGCACCATTTTGTTTATTCATCTATTAAAAATGTAAAAATTTATTGACGAATATACGTGCTTAGCGCCAGTTTACCAGCGATGCAACAAAAATATTTGCTTACAATGAAACCTTTATTCTCTGTCAATGAATAAAAGAAGTATTATTTTAGCCATGATTGTAAGTATAGCAGTTTTCCTTTTAAAATTATTACATATACTTTCATGTGCACATACATGCATATACACAAATAGATATAAGTGTTGCAAAAATAATCCAAAATCGTAGTTCCGAAGATCAGAGAAACACTACAATCGAACTGCACCCAGATGGTTCCATGTTATACGCTGCAAAAACCTTGGACAAATTGCACTCAACAAAATTGCTAGCTCTTGAGCTTCCATAACTCGACCTAAAGATTAGAACAAAGGAAAAGGGATTACGCAGCTGGTATGTTGAGATTATACTGAATTTGGTTATTAGGAATTATGAATGCCAACAAAGGTTTAATATTATTGAGTAGGCAGAAAATCGTGAATGAAGTAGTTATGATTGCATTGTAAGGTTCCTCACTTTATCTTGTTAAATGTAATGTCGAGTAACCTAGTGAACTGCTAAGCAAATAATCGTTTAAGTCCAAGAACAAAAACGTAAACTCAAGAAGAGTTAATTACTCTTTATTTGCTCAAAATAAAGATTTAACAGTCGGCCCCTTTCTCAGGACGTACAGCAAAGCCTCCACTTGAGCTTCAACTCAGAATGTAAGAAATAAGAAGTAACTAATGACCAGCTGAAGAGATTTAGCCGAAGCTAACCCAATTCTAAACTAGTTGGCCCGTAATATTAAATTAGCCAGCGAAGCTATCAAAAGGCACGTAATACGGTCGAATGTAACAACAGCATAGAGAGATATAGCCTAAAGGCAAACGCGCATTATTCACGAAAATTATTTCTCTCTGGCGAAGTCAGTGGAACTTGACTTAAATACTACTCTACTTCTCATTTGCATTTAACTCGATTCAAAAAGTTAATTATGGTAGGGAGTTGTAAGCTGAAACTACGAAGGATAGGAAAGAGGCCTAAACTTAAAATAACTGTTATAAAATTAAAATATACCTTACAGCATAATAATAATGTACTGAAGTTATGACAGTAAGCAGGCTACACAGGGTGTATGGTTCCAGAAACAGCCAAAAGTATATATTGATTAGATTTCGATAGTATATTTTAGTTACATTAAAGTAAAATTTTGCTTTCATAAACATACGTATATTTACATGTTATGTTGTCTTGGACAGTACCTTGCCAGCATAAGCATAGGAAGCTTATTTTAAAATAAGCAATGTTTGCTGTAAAATTTAGCCAACCATTTAGAAAGATAATTATAGAAACAATCGGCTTTAGTGTAGAATTGGGTGGCCCTTCGATTGGCGAAAAATTTTGTTCAATTTTGGCGATAAAACGCCATTTCTGGTTACCACGATAGTTTTAACTTAGTTTCAGCATCCGTACCGTCACCTTAGGGTTACCGTAACTCTGTTTCAACCTTATATGACGTCATCATTGCGACTTTCTTAAATGTAAATTTTATTGGTTGTTTCGGGATTGCGTAAGTAATTTATGTAAAATTAAATGTAAATTTTATTGGTTCGTTTTCTGTGACTGTGCATAAGTAATTTAAGTAAAAATTAAATTAAAATTTTATTGGTTTATTTATTTAATATTATTTTATTATTATTTTTGATTGCGTGAGCATTTCGTTTTACTGTTAGTTGCCCGCTTGATATTTAGCGCTATCTTTCTCTGTTATCTAGCAAAGTAGAATGTCTGGAAAAATTAATATGCGTTTTTTTTTTAATTGGAGCAAAATGGTAAGAGAGCTATTATTTATTGGTTTATGCATGAAGGTTTGATTAGTCCTCGCTATGTTTGTCCTGTTTGTATGAAAGATATGCGTTTGATTGAAAGGAAGGATAGATCGGATGGCTACGAATGGGTTTGTCGTGAAAAAAGTGTGAATGCTCATCATTAGTAAACAGGTCTGTGAGGAAAGGTACGTGGTTTGAAGAGAGTAATATGAGTATTATTGAGATTTTAATACTTTCGTATTTGTGGGTGTATGAATCCGGTATGAATCTGATTATGAATGAGGTGAATGTGAAAACGAATAAAACTGTGGTTGATTGGCGTAATTTTTGTAGAGAAGTGTGTATGGATGTATGTGTGAAAAAGAGTGAGATGATTGGAGGTCCTGGTATGGCTGTGGAGATTGATGAAAGCAAGTTTGGTAAGAGGAAGTATAATAGAGGCAGACGAGTGAATGGTAAATGGGTGTTTGGTGGAATTGAAAGAGAGAGTGGAAAGTGTTTTTCTGAGGTTGTGGAAGACAGATCGAGAGAGACTTTGCTGGAGGTTATAAGGCGAAAAATTCTGCCTGGGACGATGATTATCTCAGATTGCTGGAAATCTTATGATTGTTTGAAGAATGAAGGTTTCCAGCACTTATCAGTTAACCATTCGTTGAACTTTGTTGAACCTACGACTGGTGCTCATACAAACAACATTGAAAGTATGTGGAGCAATAAAACGGGAATTCCGTAAGAACAGTGTTCGGATATCGTCGGAAGATATTTTTCATTCCTATTGTTCATGCGATGCGTGCGTTGTTATACAACAATTTCAAATTAACTAGAAGTGGACTGTACTAAATATTTTATTCGACAACTTTAATCAAATGCGTGCCATCTTTCAAGCGATGACTTACTACTAACAACAACAGCAATAAAAAAAAAAACTGAGTAAGCGTTTACAGGGTTGCTGTAATGAACATCTGCGCCATGTAAGGCGCCAAGAAGAGAAAAAATGACGTAATCTTACAGTTAAATAGTCTTAATGACTTAACATAACCCCCCGGCATTGAAGGGTTACTTCAATAATTTCGTGCGATAATACTCATAATAACCTACAAAATTGTACAATTACTACCTTATACAATAATGCAATACGAATAACATCTCTTAATTCAATATAATAATATTCAATTTTCAATAAAACTTTTTTATAGACAATACAATGTACAATACAAGTTTTATAATAATAAGCTAACACTTAACTAACTTAGGAAGCTTCTTCTTGGGGTAAAATTGCAATTTTTGTAATTCCACGCTTAATGATGCCCTTTGCTGTCTGTATTTCTACTACTCTAACCTTACCGTCAACTCCAGGAAAAATTCTTGTAATGCGCCCTAACACCCATCTACAAACAGGAAGCTCATCCTCCTTAACTAGTACTAGCATACCTATTTTAATATTCGTTTGTTCTACCTTCCATTTTGAACGCTGTTGTAGTGTGTTTAAATAGTCCCTATGCCAACGATTCCATATCAACTGGACAAATCTGGTAGTTCGTTTCCATCTTGAGAGTCTGTTTTCAGGTATATCAATTAATTCGGGTTCTACTATAGCATTCAAGGGTCTTCCAATGAGAAAATGACCTGGTGTTAATGCCTCTAAATCATTTACATCGGAAGATAAGGGAGTACAGTTAATAACTCCTCGAAAGTCAACCTTGCATTACCTACAATCCGCTTTAAGTGATATTTCACGGATTTTATTCCAGATTCCCATAGTCCACCAAAATTAGGTGTCCGTGGGGGAATAAACTTCCATACTATTCCTTCTTCACCTAAATAATCTGCTAATTTTTTGTCAGGATTTCTAATTAAATTGTTAATTCTTTGCAATTCGGCATTTGCGCCAACGAAGTTTTTTGCGTTGTCTGAGAAAATGATTGAGCATTTTCCGCGCCTAGCAATAAATCTCTTTAAGGTGGCAATAAATGCGTCAGTGGTGAGATCACTCACTAGTTCGAGATGCACTGCCTTTGTTATAAGGCAAATGAAAAGAGCTAAATATACCTTATGAAGAGTTCCTTTCTTCTGTCCCTTGTACCTAATAAAAAATGGACCGCAAAAATCGGTGCCGACATGATTAAAGGGTGAGCTTGGATTTACGCGCTCTGCAGGTAATGACCCCATAATTTGTTCGATAGTGACTGGTTTATTTTTACTACAAATTATACATTCATGGGTAATCTTTCTAGTTAAATTCCTACCTTGTAATGGCCAAAATTTCTGTCTCATAAAACACAATAATGCTTGCGAACCTACGTGTAAATATTTCTGATGATAATGCTCAGCAATCAGCTTAGTTAGTTTGCATTTAACAGGCAAAATTATTTGATGTTTTTGTGAAAACATTACATTGGCCCCTTGTAATCGGCCTCCTACTCTCATTACATTATTTGCATCCAAAAAAGGGTTCAAAGAAAGTAAATTACTTTTATTATTAATGGGTTTACCTTGTGCGAGGGAGTTGTAATCTGAATAAAAACTACATTTTTGAACCTCTCTTACTAAAAAGGATTCTGCCTCATTTAACTCCTTTGAACTTACTCCTCCTGTTCTTCTCTGTGCTCCTTTCTGTTTTGCACACCTAGAGTTCCAAATGAACCTGAAAATATAACTAACAATACGTAATAATTTTAAATAATTGTTAGTGATATCTAGGACATTATCAATAAATTTTGAAGGCAAAGTGCATAAACAAGCAATGTCAGTTCTTTTTTCTCAGTTCATTAGAAAATGTCTCTGTTTTTTTTTTAATTGTTCAAAGTCAATGTTCTTGTTAGGTATGATACCCTCACTCAAGAATGGAGGACCTTTCCACCACAGATCAGCATCATGCAGCTTGTCAAAATTCAGTCCTCGGGAAATAAGGTCTACCGGGTTCTCCTCTGAACGCACATAATTCCACTGGCGTGTATGTGTTAGCTCTTGGATCTGCAACACTCGATTAGCAACAAAAGTTTTTAGTACATGCGGGGGATTCTGAAGCCATGCTAACATTATGGTTGAGTCACACCACAGACATATTTTACTGATGTCCAATTTCAAATAAGGCACCACCTTTGCAACAAGCTGTGCTAGCAGTACAGCTGCGCAGAGTTCCAGTCCAGTCGAGGTACTGTCAGCGGTTTTAGTGGAGCTACTCTGGACTTGCTGCAAAGCAAATGTGAAGATAAATTATTGTCACTTCTACAGCGTAAATAGATGGCTACTCCGTATGCGTGTTCTGATGCATCTGAAAATCCATGAATTTGTATATCAGAAAAACTATCCTGTAAAACATATCTACTGACTTTCAAATTGTTGATAGATTGCATTGAATCAATAAAAAGTTGCCAATCCTTAATTATCCTTTCGGGTAGCGGATCGTTCCAATCAAGCTTCAATAACCAAAGTCTTTGGATGAAGATTTTTGCTTTTGTTATCCCTGGACCAAGCAGTCCTAATGGATCATAAATGCGAGCAATATCAGACAACACTGTTCTCTTTGTGTAAGTAGTTGGTTTCTTGATGGTTGATTTGTACGAAAAACAATCTATCTTTGGATTCCATAATAATCCTAAAGTTTTGATGCTCTGATCGTCATCGAAATTACTGAAAGAATATTCCTCTTGTCCATCCGGAAACTGCAAAAGATCAGGATGATTAGCACACCATCTGTGCAGACGCATTCCTCCACGTGATAATAGGTTAATCAATTGCGACTGTAATTCTTTAGCCTCTATTAGAGTATGGGCTCCTGTGAGTACGTCATCGACATAAAAATCCCTTTGTACTATTGGCGCTGCTAACGAAAAATTATTTTTTCTCGTCTTCTGCTAATTGATTAAGTGTGCGTGTTGCTAGATATGGTGCGTTGGAAGTACCGTAAGTTATAGTCTTCAGTCTATAGACCTTAACTGGTTCTTCTTCACTACTCTTCCATAAGATGCGTAATAAATCTCTTTGATGTTCTTTAATCAAAATCTGACGATACATTTTTACAATGTCTGCTGTGAAGGCAATTTTATGCGTTCGAAATCTGCAAATAATATCAAATAGTTCGTCTTGAACTAACCCTCCATTCAGCAGAATATCGTTTAACGAAATTCCAGTAGTCGTAGGAGCAGTGGCATCGAACACTACCCTAAGTTTAGTGCTAGGTTTCTCGGGCCTGAAAACCCCATGGTGAGGAAGATAATATGAGAAACTAGAGCTATCCCCTTCATCAATTTCTTCGGAATGGCCTAATTTATTATATTCCTTAATGAAATCTTCGTATAAGTGTTTCATTGCGGGATTGCGAGTGAAGCGTTTAAGTAGATAATTCAGTCTTTTGCTAGCGTTTTCTCTCGATTCCCCTAAAAGGCTAAGTCCTTCCTCCTTAATTGGCATTTCCACTACATATCTGCCATCATCTTGCCTCGTGTGTGTACGAAGAAAGTGCTGTTCACAAAATTCCTCTTCCTGACTTTTCACTTTTTTTGCTTCATTAATACCTTCAATCTCCCAAAACCTTCTCATGTTGTCAGATAAATTATCCCCATTTTCCACAAACCCACAAAAATTATCAACACTGCCTTGCTGCGGCATGCGTACTGACCCGCTAACGATGTATCCAAAAACTGACTGATGGAGAATCAGGTCTTGCATATTTATTCTATTTGTTCCCAGTAAATCAAAAAATATTTCGTTAGATAATAAAACATGTATTTGACCAGGTTTATAAAACTCTGATCAGCTAAA